GTGACTGTAGAGATAAGTGGTTTTCATAAAAAAACTGCAGGCTGGGAGGGTGTTGTTTTGTTTTCAAGGAAGAATTAGAGTTTCTGAAAGCCAAGTCCTCAGCGTGGACCAGTGCGTTTCTAGCTGTCTTCCCTAAGTGTACTGACCGATGGACCAAACCTCACCTCCCCCCAAGGTGAGGGGTCCTTCCTGGGGCTCTGGGGTCTCCAAAGTTTTGTCGGAAATGGGGGCTATTTCTGACACTGGGGACAGAATAAAGTAGGTGGAATATGCATTACGGTTGAGACACTGGCCCGCCAATTCAGCCATTTATGAAGAGGGCTCTCTGGCCTGCTCTCTGGAACACAGGTCCCCGAGGCCACATTTCCAGGTGCCCGCTCCTCCCCGGGACACACAGGGAACCCCCACACAATCCTACCCTCTTCCTCTTTGCTGGGAACCAGAGCTGACAAAAACGACAGACTATTCAAGTGGAGGGCCGGGCAGGCTGAGTCCTATCTAACTGGGACGTTTTGCGAGATGGGGGTTACGTGGAAGCGAAGGGAAAAGTTTTGGCAAAACAGTGAGCTGGAGAGGATGGACTGAACCGAAATTCCGCTCTGTCATTCCCCCCCCTCCCGCCCCCGCCCCAGCAATGACCGGCACAACATTCAGGATGACCTCGGCTGTATTATAGCAACTGCTTGTTGGTGGGGGAGGCCCGGAGAGGGGTGAACCGTGGGTCACGGCGTCTAAAAATTATGAAAATGCTCGAGAGCCTCGTGACGCGCCTCGCTGTTTAACAAAGACTGCCAAAGTATGAGATTAATCCCAAAACTCGCGCTTCAAAAACACACCAAAAAAAAAAAAAAGTCTTGTTCCGGCTCCGAGGGGGCCTGGAGCTCTTCTGCCCGCGGCCGCGGCCGGGTTTCTGGACCCACGGGATGGACACGAGCGAGCTCGGCCGTCGCCGCGCCGATCCCCATCCGGATCCGGGCGGGTCGGTGGCCGGGAGGCTGGGGAGCCGCCCCGTGAGTACCCTGCCCGCTCCGCCCGCCCGGGGCCTCCCACTCCGCGGCTGCCCGTGCGACCGGCGGACCGGCTGGAGCTTGCCTCCCGGGCCCTTCGGCTTCCTTCCCTCACTCGGCCTGTCCCTCCCGCCCTGCCGACAAAAGGTACATGATTTCTCGCTGGCTGGGCGCGATCGGGCCGGCGGAGGGGCGCTGAGCGGCCAGAGGTCACTCCAGCAACCTGTGGCTGCGGGGAGAGGGAGCGGGAGCGGGGAGAAGGCGGCCGCCGGCCCCGGAGCTCAGGGGAGGCGGCTCCAACGCGCGCGCGGAGCTCTGTCCCTTTCTCATTTTTATTACGATGCCTATTGCTGTTCCGGTTCTTCCGGGAATGGAGGACGGAGGCAGACTCCTGTCCTGGTGAAACCCATCATGGGGATCGCTGATAAACCTTATCCTCTACCCATCCCGGCTGGGCTGGGGTGGAGGGTAGGACACTTTGGAGGGATGGGCGGCATGGGCAGGTGGGCGGCTCCCAGCGCGCAGAGGAGAACATTTCCGCGCTGTATACCTAGGATCGGCCATACACAGCCCCTCGGTGGCTCTGCCTCCCCTCCCTCTCTCCAGGGGGTGTGGGGGCACCTGGGCCACATCCCTTGAGAAGTGTAGAGCAGCAGAGATGCCAGGGGACCAGCTCAGCGGCCCTCCCATAATTTTGAAAAGCCATGGCCGGAGCGTTCGGAGAGCTAGGGAGTGAGGAGGAGGTATGGGGTGGGGAAAGGCCCAAAGAGTTGGAATGGGTGTGCAGCTCCCAAGTGGCCTTTGACAAGACTTGCTTGATGCCAGGCCCTGGTGGAGGTTCTACTTAGATGTCAGTCCCCCTGGCTGCCCAGATGGGGGTCTGAGATTAAGATAACTACAATAGAACTCTGTGTGTGTGTGTGTGTGTGTGTGTGTGTGTGTGTGTGTGTGTGTAATTTTTCAAATACATGTGAGTCCAGCCTGGCTGGGAGGGTGTTGGTGGTGGCGATCAGGCCTGGAGGCCAACATGAGCAATCTGGATTTGGGACAGAGCAGGGGGCCTCTGGACCTTGTTGCAGGCAAATGGGAGCTCTCTTCTCAGCCACCTGCGAGGGCCCCAGGACTGGGATGGGCAGGGACTTCTGGAGAGTGGGGGGTGAGAGGGTCTTTTTGTGTGTAAGGCAGTATTTGTTAATGAAACTGATGTTATTCTGACTTATTCACTAGGGATATAAAATTTTTCAGACCCAGGGAGATGGGTGGGGAGCCTGGGCAGGGAGGCTTGGTGCTCTCTCTGCCTTACCATGGGGAGGCTGTCAGCTGGCGCAGCCTAGGACTCAGTGCCCTCCGGCTCGGCCCCCTGCCTTCCAGTTTAGTAAATTTCCTGGTTGCTGGAAGCCTTAGGAAATTTGTTTGGAAGCCCCAGATCCCTCAGGTTTCCCAGATCCCCTTTTGGGTCCCACTGTCAGCAACCCTAGCAGGTGGCAGAGTGAGCAAGTTGAAAGGGAGAGAGAGAGAGAGAGAGAGAGAGAGAGAGAGAGAGAGAGAGAGAGAGAACATGCCTGCCTGGGGCTAGGGAGGTGGGGAACCGGGATTCTCCTCCACTTCTGGCCCCCAGGAGGTTGGGAGGCGGGGAGGGACCGGAATATCATCTGGCTGCGTTTTTATGGTTCTCCATCGCCCTTCATTCGGAAATGAGACGCCTTTGATCTTTTTCTCAGGTTGTAAACGGAATTGCCCGTCATTAAAAACCCAGGGCCCCATCTGGTTGGTCTCCCAGCATTTTTTCTTTACAGCTGTTTCCCTCTCATTTTACCATTGAAATTTTCCAAAAGGACTTTATGACACCCCCTTCACACCCAGCCGCCTCTCCCCACCCCTCCCTTTGCTAAGAGGCGCCTTGAAAAATATATAGATATTCGTTTGATGGCGAACGAAAGGCTGCAAGGGTCACTGGAGGAGCCCATTGGGGTTTTGTTTTTCTTTTTAAAAAGTCCTGGGGGGATGGGAGGGGCGGGAGGGCACCCAGAAGGGCCCGATTCTGACTCGCCGCAGCCTCGGGATGACCCTTCCTCCTTTTGTGTTTGGCTAATGTTTACATCTCATAATTCATGCCCCACCGCGGAGAGTTGCGCGGCGGCGGCTGCGAGGTTTGCGTCTCTTTTGCCAGACTTGCCGCTCCTCGTTCTCCCTAAACGAAGAGGAAGAACATGGAAAAACCTTGTAATTCCAAGGACGGACCCGCAGTCTCTTTTTCCTGTTCCCAGAACTCACAAATCAGAACAGAACGAAATAAACCCAAAGCATTCCAACCACACCCCAAACAGAAGAACCCTCGGAAAAGTAGGAGAACTGGAAAATGTCTGGGCCAAGAAGATCTCTCTGTCTTCTGTATATACCCTGTAGATCCGAATTTGTGTAAGGAATTTTGTGGTCACAAATTCGTATCTAGGGGAATATGTAGTTGACATAAACACTCCGCTCGTTTTTTTCCCCCCCTGAAGAATTTAAAAAAATTTTTTTTTCCTAAAGGAGGATCATGCGATGACTGGCCACGCGAAGACTCCTTCCTTCTGTCTTCTTCCTTCTTTTCCTCCGGAAACTGGGTAGAGAGACCATCTACCTGAAATTGCCCCATGTCTGTCCTCAGGAGCCTTGGTCCCCTGTCCCTTCTCTGGATAGGTTACTGTTGGCGGCATTTTTTAAATTTTATCCTCGCCCTCCAGCCCGCCTGTTCTCTCTTCTGGGCACAGGGGGGGGTTTGACTGAAAATCTAGGGGAAGTGACTGTTGCCGTCCGTGTGCAAAGGCAAAGGAAATTCGCTTTTCAAACGGATGTGGATGTCGCCTTTCCGTTTGCCTTGAGAACAAAATGCCCTGGAAATACCTGATCACTAAGGGGTGTCATTGTGTGTGTGTGTGTGTGTGTGACCTCCAGGGCACCCATCCCCAGCATCCCAGGGATGAGAGATTTGTGTTCACCGAGGAGGAGGCTGTGGCATTAGTGGCAATTACCACGTCTCCACCCCGCGGTTAGTGTTGCTCCGATGGTTCTGGAATTAGCAAATTGCCATTCAGCGCGGCTCTCTCGAAAGTTGCAGGTTTTTTTAGCCGCTGCTCCTGTTCAGTGTGGGAAACCGAGTCGTTTCTCCCGTCGTCGGGTAAGGAGAGGAGTGGCTGGGAGAAGGGGACAGACAGACGGACTGACAAAGCTGAGCTAATAGCGCAGCTAAATGCGATTTGGAAGGCGAGGTCTCCCCGAATTAGTGCATGAATTTTCTATCGATCCGCCCGCGGTTCCATTCATCTCTGACAAGCCCCTCGGTGCACCCGCCCGCCTGCTCCTCTCGCTCCCTCCCCCTCCCCATGCGGCCGCCGGAGGACCGCTCCACGCTCCGTGCCTCTCGCCCCCGAGTGGGGTCCCCTCTGTCTCCGGGCAGAGCCCCCCGTCCTCCTCTCCTCCGCTCCCCACGCGGACGCGGGGTCCTGACGGGCCTCCTCGCCTCGGGAGGCGGGGAAGGGGCCCACGGAGGCAGAGGATGCGGGTCGAGGCGAGGCGGGACACGAGGGGCGACACGGGGAGCCCCAACTTCCGAGGGAACCCGGGGATTGCGCCTGCCCAGGGCCCCCCCCCCCCCCCCGAGGCCCTCGGCGGGCACCCGCGCTCTCTCCCCCCGGATCTCGGAGGCGGCCGGGGGCGCGGGCGGGTGGCCCGCGGGAGCCCCGTGCAGACCGCGGCGCGGGCCGGTGTCGGGGGGCGGGCGGGGAGGGGGTGCAGGCCAAGGGGAAAGAAGCCTCTGCGGCTGGAGTGGGGTCCGGGCGAGCAGATTTCCTTATCCGGGAATCGCAGGCGGGGCGGCCATTGGCTCCCGGGATCACGTGGGGCCCTAACTTTGTTCACTTGACAGTAAGTAGGAGGGCTCTCGGAAACAGGAAAACGAGTCAGGGGTCGGAATAAATTTTAGTACATTTTGTGGGCCATTCCCAGAAATTAATGGCTATGAGTTCCTTTCTGATCAACTCAAACTATGTGGACCCCAAGTTCCCTCCGTGCGAGGAGTACTCGCAGGGCGACTACCTGCCCAGCGACCCCTCGCCGGGCTACTACGGCGCCGGCGGCGGCCCGAGGCGGGAGGGCGGCTTCCCGGAGGCGGGCTTCGCGCGGCGCGCGCCGTGCACCGGGCAGCGCTACGCGGCCTGCCGGGCCCCCGGGCCGCCGCCGCCGCCGCCCCCCGGGCTGTCCCCCCGGGCGCCCGCGCCGCCGCCCTCCGGGGCCCTCCTCCCGGAGCCCGGGCCGCGCTGCGAGGCGGCCAGCAGCAGCCCCCCGCCGCCGCCCTGCGCGCAGGACCCCCTGCACCCCAGCCCGTCCCGCTCCGCGTGCACGGAGCCCGTCGTCTACCCCTGGATGCGCAAAGTCCACGTGAGCACGGGTGAGTGCGTGGGCGCCCCCCCCCCCGGCGCTGGTGCCACCAAAGGGACCTCGGAGGCGTGGGGGGCGGGGGCGGGAGCGGGAGAGCCGGGGGAAGCCAATTGTCCCCGCCATAAACTCGCCACGGCCCGAGATTTACGGGCGCCTGTTTTCAGAGCCACATCATTACATCCCCCATAAATTTTTATGGCCTGCTGGGCCCCGCGCCTTTGAAGTCGGCTCCCCATTCTCTTTTTTTGGCCATTCTCACCGGCGACTTTCTCGCCAGGGACCTGTGTGTGTAGTTGGAAGTTGGGGAGGGGGGCGGGAGGCTGGAGAAGAGGAGGAGGAGGAGGAGGAGGAGATCTGTATTTAAGCAGAGCAGTTGAGTCAACTCCCACTATTTATTTTCAACCCCCTTTTCTTCCCTCGAGCCTGGCTCCTTGGCTCGAGAAGTGGGCAAAAAAGTTTTTTCTTGGGGGCAGGCCCTGCCTGGAATCTGAGCGGAGAGGGTGGGAACTGACAGGAGCCAGGTTTAGGGAAGCCCCCCTCCCCTCTCACCCCGCGTTCTCCCACCCCGGGCCTCAGGCCAAGGCGGGAGAGGAAGGGTGAAAACCCTGTGAAGAGCGTTCCTCACGCTGAGCGCCCCCCTTTACTCCCCCCCCCCAAACAACGTGGAGATAACCTTGCAAAACTCCGAGGTCCCCTTCTCTCCCAGCAGCCCGCTTGCTTCCCTGTCTCCCCCCACCGGAGGGGAAGAGGTGGCGGGAGAGAGGGCGGGAGGGAGGCAGGGAGACGCCGTGTTTGCTGGAAGAAAGTGCTCTCCCCCTCCTCCTCCCGTTTGGGGCAATAAAACTTTCTCTTTCTCCCTCTCTCCGTGTGTGTCCAGTCAACCCCAATTACGCCGGCGGGGAGCCCAAGCGCTCCCGCACCGCCTACACGCGCCAGCAGGTCCTGGAGCTGGAGAAGGAGTTCCACTACAACCGCTACCTGACGCGGCGCCGGCGCGTGGAGATCGCCCACGCGCTCTGCCTGTCCGAGCGCCAGATCAAGATCTGGTTCCAGAACCGCCGCATGAAGTGGAAAAAGGACCACAAGCTGCCCAACACCAAGATCCGCTCGGGGGGCGCGGCGGGCGCGGCGGGAGGGCCCCCGGGCCGGCCGGGCGGAGGGCCCCCCGCGCTCTAGCGGCCTCCGGGCAGCGGGCTGCGGGCACGGACCCGGGGCGTGGAGCCGGGGAGCGCGGGGGAGTCAGGAGGCGGGAGGAGGCCCCGGGGCCTGGGCCTTGGCCTGGCAGAGCCGTCCTGCCTCCCCCGCCCCCTCCGTCCATTGACACGAATAAACGCAGAGAAGGGGTCGGGGACGCTTTATTTATAGAAACCACCGCGGAGAGCCGGCCGAGTTCCCCCTCTCCCCCCAGAAGCAAAGCTCAAGTCTCTGGCTCTCTTTCTTTAAAAATAAACAAACAAATAACAAGAGGAGGAGAAGAAGGAAGGAAGAAAGGACAGAAAGAGGAATAGGAGGAGGCTGCCCGCCTGGCTCTCGGCGGCGGCGAAGATGGATCCGCGCTTCATCTGTAATCGTGCCGGCCCGGGCCATCCGTCTTGTTTACGCCGCCGCCGCCGCCGAGAGGCCGGGCCTCAGCGGCCACCATTACCTCGACACCCGCTAACAAATGAGGCCGCCGCCGCCTCGGAGACTCTCTCTTTGTCCCCCATTCCCGGTGACCTTCTGATGGCCAGAGCGCGGTGTGTCGGCCTCGGTAACACACACATCACACCTCCGCCCCGTCCATCCAGGCCCCTCGGCGGGGACACGGACTGCACCCCCTTCCTCTGCGGGGCTGGGAAGGGGGTGGCAGCAGGAAGGGGCCATTGTAGGCTCCGGCGGGCAGGGACATGGAGGCCAAGGAGGGCAAAAAAAAAAAAAAAAAAAAAAAAAAAAAAAAAAAAAGGAAAGGAAAGAAAGAGACCAGCAGACTCCGGAGGGACTTCCTTGGTTCTGAGCAGGGTGAGGGCCGGTGGGGCTGTGAGCACACCCCTCTCGCCCCTCCAGAGCTGTCCAGGGGGGACCTGCTCGCCCAGACTGAAACTGAATGTGAAACTAGGAAGTGCAGATCCGGGAGAGGATGTTCCAGAGACCTCTCCCCTCGATGATCATGGTTGCATCGATGATGACGACGATTATTAATAATTAATTAATTATTATTATTATTTTATGTTATGTGTGTCCTCCCTCCCCTTCTCTTCCTGACATTCCAAACTAGGCCCCCCTTCCTAGGTCCAGGGGGGGGGGCTGCCCGAGTCTAGAACCCTTCGTTGGAGTGGAAAAAACAATGTGTGTCCTGTACAGAGTGACAATAGAAATAAATGTTTGGTTTCTTGTGTGACCAGCACGGCGTGTGTTTGTTGAAGCCTTGATCTAAAGATACGGACAAATGCCCCCTAGCCTCTGTCTGAGGCACCTCAGCCCATTTGGATCCCCATTGTAGGCGGCTGAGGATTTTTTTTTTTTTTAACCAAAGGGTCCGATGGGAATTTCTATCTTCAAGGACTCCAAACTGTGGTAGCTGGTTTGTTTTCTTGTTTGGGGGGTGGCTGTTGTTCTTTAAATGTTCCCCCTCCTGTCCAAAAAAAAAAAATGGATGGAAAGGACTAGGAGGGCTGACTCCAATCCCTAATGGGGCGGGGGAATGTTTCATTGTAGGACACAAGAGGCTTAAGTATGGCAAAGCCTCTCATATCATGATTTATTTGTCATAAGCAAATAAAATGCGGTTAAGCTGTCTCCTTCTAGACAGACGGCTCTTTGCTTATTAAAGTTCCGCGGGAGGATTCCGTGAGGCCGGCCTCTTTTCTCCTGCATGAGAAGGTATCGTTTTCTCCTCGGAGGTGTTTAAGGCTTTAATGAGTCTAATTTTTTGCACAGATGTTTCTGGGTGTTTGCAGGTTTTCAGAGTATTTTTATATTACAAAGGAGCTAGCCGGTGCCATAGCTCAAACTCTGACAAGCAAATAGATAATCAAGAAGACAAATGGCCTCTTTTGTGAAGCCCTGCTCCTGTATTAATTTTCATTTTCTTTCTCATAGAGAGTATCGAAAGTACGACTGGGGACCAAATCGCTTTCTGTCTCGGAGGTCCCAGTCACCCCTAGAGTGGAGTGGGGGAAGGGAAGGCAGGTGACCCTCAGAAGTTCTGTTGAGCGTGGGCCGCTTTTGTGCAGAACCCAAGAGACGTATGAAGGTCTGGGCTCCAGCCTGAGGTGCCTGATCCTGGGGTGGCCCAGGGCACAGACACTGCCTCCAGAGAGCTCAGGCTCCGGAGAGCACATGCAATTCAAAGTGGCTGGTTTCTCTGGTCCCATCTCCCTTCAGAAAATAAAAATAGCCAACCCCACCCACACGTTTTATTGTTATTTGTGTATTGTATCCCCCTGCTTTGCAGCACCCGGGAGTTTGAGGCTGGGTAGGGCCCCGGGACAGAAAAAGGGTTGAACTGCCCGTTTCAATGTTGCGGGAGATTCATTAAAAAAAAATCCCCCCAGACCTGGAAGCTGAGAGCGGCCAGCTTTGTTCGGTCAATTTGGGTGTGATGTTTAGCTGCCAGGAGATGCGACTGCCCTAGGCAGAGAGAGAAAACAGTAGTTAAAAAGCATATTGCGTGCCCCCCCCCAGGAATGCCTCTATAGAACCAAATCAAAGCTACTCTCCTTGGAAGGTATGAATAGAATAAAAAAAAGATTTCTATGGCGCTTAAAGTTCACAGCCATTCTGTGTAGACAAGAGCTAAGAAAAATGTGAGAATTATACAGAAAACCATTAATCACTTCTTTTCTTTAAATACGTATCCTCTCTCCTTTGTTATTATTCAACAGCAAATCTCCGCAGACCCGCTGTTGGGGGGAAAAAGTGTTAGCCGCCTCTCCCAGATCTGCGAGGGGGAAACATTTTGGAACCGTAAAGTTGAAAACTTTTTTCTCTCAGTTCGGAAGAAGCCCTTCGCCATGCGTGGGATGCCAGGAGTTCGGGGCCAGAGGAGGCGAGAGGCAAAAAGGTAACAAAGCCCCCGCCTGGGCTGGCATTTTTTTTTTTCCCTCAAATCGTTTTATGAGCTGCTTTTTTTCTTTTTCAACAAGGGAAAGAAGAAACCCTGTCTTAGTGGGGTTTTTATGGCGACTCTGGTCAGGTTTGGGGCCTTTTATGATGACTGATGCCTGGGTCAGATGGGCGAGAGAGGCCTGACACCTGGAGAATGTTTGGACTGCTGGGGGCTGATGTCAGGGTCTCTGAAGGACCCCAGAAAAGGCTGTGTGGGAGGCAGCTCAGCGTGCTATACCAATTTGGGGGACATGCAGGTGGGCCTGTGGCACCCAAGCATGCGTGCATGTGTATGTGTGTGTAGCGACGCGCACATGTGGCCGGTTGTTCTGCGCCGAGGGCTTGTGTCCCGTGTATCTGTTCACAGTGAGATGTCACGCCGCCCCCTGGCAAAACGGGATGCATTTCTCGGATGGAATGCCCCTGCCTCAGAGCAGGGTATAGGTGGGGGTCTTCCTTTTGTCCCCTTTTTGTGGCAAGCTTGGGATCCTAGACAAATATCCCCAGTTCTCTGGGGCAGGAAACTGCTCCGTTCACTGGCAAGCTTCTTGCCGCTGGAATCTTCCTCTTTAGTGCTGTCCCCTCCCTTTTTCCTGGAGGCTCCGTGTTGGGTTTGGTTTCCTTTTGCTCTCTCTCTCTCTCTCTCTCTTAGTTTGGGGGCTGTGTCCCTCCCCGCCCCCCTCCTACCCCAGCCCGGGGCCCAGCTTCTGAGGGTGAGGGAGCCAGCGGCCGGGCCTCAGACCTGAATGTGCCGGCCCTTTTTCCCTGGGGCTCACTGCGCGTTTGGAGGCAGGAGGTTGGCAGGAGAGAGAGTTCATGGAAAGGCCACGTTTTCTAGGCGATTAGCTCAGTATTAGAACCACAAAATGACCTCGGAAGCCCCTTGACCTCTCTGAGACTGGACATTGTGCTGGCTCCCGCGTCCTGCCCTGCCCGGGAGGGAGAGTCACACCTCAGCGGGGAGCTGTGTGCCCATGTCCACCCCCCTCTAGCCTACTTTGGAATTTCTGGATTGTGTTTCTGTTACTGGGAATTGGGGAGAAAAGAAATAAAATTGTTAGCTTGGGTACAGCCGGGGAGGGAGGAGGGTGCCCCTCTGTCTCACTGTGCAGGCTCCTTCCTTCAGCCGGGCCCCCACCGCTGTGCCCATGCCCCGTTCACCCCTCCTGTCCTGTCTTGCTTGGAGGGAGCTGCGGGGCACAGACAAAGGGAAGTGGCAGGAGAGGCCCACCGGCTTCAGGGGGCCAACGGGACAAGCCTCTGGGTCCCAAGGAGACACTTGAACAGTTCCTTGGGGATTACTGTGTCTCAAAGTCTGATATCCCAGTCCACAACCCCTCACCCCATTCCCCCCCTGAAGTCCCTTTGTCTGGGGAGCAATTCCTAGAATCACTCTCACCCCCTTCCCCTGATCCCCCATTTCACTTCAGCTGCTCCCAGAGCCCATGGGATTCCTCTCCAGCAAAGGAGAGCTGGGAGCAGGGCCAGTGCAGACCCTCCTGTCCATCTCCAGGGAGAGCTCTGCCCTGTTAGCCCAAGTTTCCAGCAACTTTTCATGTTCAGAGATGAGTGTGTGTGTGTGTGGGGGGGGGGGTGGTTTCCAAGAGCCTTTCCAATCTGCATTCTGCTTGCTGCATCTCAAAAATCTGCTGTGGCAGCCATCCCCTCAGGAGGAGCGGGGGAGGGGGACACTCTAGCTGGGAGAGGAGATGCTCCTTTGGGGTTAAGACCAGGAGAGACGGAACTTTGCTGGGATGTGTTTGGCCTGGGTCTGCGTGTTGAAAATTGTCTGTTGGAACGTAGGGGCTTGGTCTTAGGCAAGAAATAACTGGAGTTGGTTGGTGTCCTTTGTCCCTGGATGGCATCATACATGCAGTGGTGGGCGGGGAGGCCTGGGGAAGGAAAGGGGGTGAACAGAGAGGGAAGCTGGGCTGCTCCTGGGCTGACAAAAGCTGGGGCTCAGGGAGAGGCACCCTTGCTTATAAGGGCAGATAACCAATGGTGGGGGCTCTGTAGGCCTAGAGTCTACCAGCCTCTCTCTGGCAATGTGAGGATGAGGGCCTCACCCATGGAAGAAGGAAAACAATGGG